AGAGGGAACACTGGCTTAAGTAAGATAGAAGTTTATCTCTCTCTTATTATGGTCCAGAGGTAAGTAAGTAGTCCAAGGCTGGTATGGAAGTTCTACTACATGAAGTCTTCAGGACCTGGGCTCCTTTTGTCCACTTCATTTTGCATGAATTCCTTCTTAAAGGACACCCCATAGTCCAAGATGGCTTCTCCAGTCATGTTCACAATCAAGCCAGCAGTATGGAGGACAGCAGAAAGAAAGGCACACCCTTTACTTTTAAGATCACTTTCTGGGGATCACATACAACACTTCCACCTACATCCCATGAGCCAAAACTCACACGACCCTATCTAGTTGCAAAGGAGACTCCAACTAGGTATCTTTATTCTAGGAGTTCATGTGGCCAGCTAATACTTGGAGCTTCCATCATTTTAAAAAGCAAGAGAGTATTATATTAGGGCATAACTAGCAGTCTCTACCAGCCCAACTTGTATCTCTCATAACAAGAAGTACCCAAAAGTAGGGCAGGCAGTCAGTGAGGTTTGTTGGGCTCCAACTCCTCTCTGAGGCTGCCTCTGCCTGGCACGGCTCCATGTGTCGCCTCTGTCTTAAGCTAGCTCCCTTCCTGCCCCTCAAGACAAAAACAGCAGTTCTAGGCATCATATTTCAGATGCAACAAAATCCAAAAGAAGAGGAGGAAGGATGTATCTCTTCCCTCTGTCCCCTTTTGAAAAGGGAAGAAAATTTTCTTAGAGGCAGCTAGTAAAGTTCCCTTAAAGTCTCAGTGGCCAGATTTCATCACAATCCCATGCTTTGAATATAACTGATGCTTGAACATCACGGTGGGGGGGGGGGTGTGAGGGGTGCCCACCTTCCACACAGTTGGCCCTCAATATATTCCTTGGTAACAGCAGTTCCTCTGTATCTGTGATTCCACATGCTCAGATTCAACCAACTGTGAATCACGCAGTACTGTAGCATTTACTACGGAAAAAAATCTTACGTGTCCGTGAGTTCAAACCCGTGTTGTTCAAGGGTCAACACTGACCCTTGAAGTCAAGAGTTGCCGTCACTGACAGGAAGACACCACCATGATAGGCAGGGACCCAGCAGCACCCAGCTCTCAGAAGCCATAAGTGGGGCTAACCTCTCTGAAACAGAGGGCTGCACAGAGGTTCAGCACCCTAACAAAAGGGGGTTCTGTTATGAAAGAGGAATGGGGAAAGGATGTGGGGGTGGCATCTAACAGTATCTACCACACTCTGCATCCTAAAGTTCCATACAGTTGAGCTTTGAACAACACAGGTATGAACTCTGTGGGTCCACTTATTTTTTTTCAGTAGTAAATACTATAGCACTACACGATCCACAGTTGACCAAATCTAGGGATGTGGATCCATGCTCAGTGAGGAACCACAGTTATGAGGGCCTACTATAAGTTATACGCAGATTTTCGACAGCACAGAGGGTCTGCACCCTTAACCTTCATGTTGTCAAGGGTCAGCTATACTATTACTAGAGATAAACTGATCTCTAAGATCAGACCAGTTCTTACACCCACCTCCTACCAACAAACTACAAGTGAAGAAAAAGCAAATGTGTAGACTAGCAACTACACATCTAGGTTGCGTAGACCACAAACTTCCTAGTGTCCACTCACCTGCTCTAGGCAGACTTTTCACTCCAGGCCTACAATCAGCATGAATTTCACATTTCAGTTGCCTGAGTTAGCCCTTATGGTATAAATAGGAGAAAATTCCCCTGAGAGAAATACATGTTGTTTTTAAATTGAAGCTCACGTCTTACTTTACAAGCATCAGATCCCTTATGAGAATTTCAGAAGAAGCTGCTTTAAGGTTCACTATGGCTGATGATGCCATAATAAGTCTAGGAAAAGAACGGTTTTCCTGACTATCTGCTGCAGGCCTGGAGGTGTCCTCCAGTATTCTCCCACCCCCACCAAGAACCCATGTATCCTTCAATTCTCAGCTACAGCACTGAATTTCCAGTGCTTTTCTGGCCCTCTACGGGACATATGTGGGAGAGTTTTCAAGTTTGTTTTCTTTTGATTCATTAACAATTCAACGGCAATTTTTTTAAGGAAACAAAATTATTGCCTTAACAGGAAAACACTGTTTTTGGAAGCCGTAGTTCACTTTTAGGCATACCAAAAGTTTGAAAGGAAAAGAAAACAAGCCAGAAAAAGAAAAAAGTGCCATAAAATGACCACTGATGCCTGCATTATATGAGCTTTCTTTTTCCTTAAAGAAAAACCCTTTTAGGTCACTACTAAAAAGCATTTCTGAAGGTTAGCAGATGACACCACCCATGTGATTACAAATTGATCTTAGTATTATTTATGAATAGCATCATTTTATCAAGGGACGTTACTCAAAGACTTATAGACACTATCCTCAAAATGTATTCTGTCCTTAAGAAACATGAGTCAGTAATTTTCAAAACTAACACCTTTAGAGACAAACACTTTTAACACTTCTGACATCCCTTTATCTAGAGATTGACTACATCCTAAGAAATAAATTACTTTTGAAATATCCGTGTGACAGAGATCACTATTAACACAAAGTTTTGAGGCACACACGCCAAATGGCAACTGTTAAATGATTTGCTGAAAAGCCAGTGCAGATTCAGAATCATCAGCCTACTAAAATACAGCTGCTCACAACACGTACAAGATTAAGTTAACAAAATTCACTGCCAATGTATTGACTAGTTATTCTCCATGTTGGCAAAGTTTATTAAGCTTGAAGGAAAGTTATTGTCTCAGCTACAGGAGCTTTCCAATCCATACTATTTCCCTGGCAGCTACTTTATGAGAAACAGGTCATAAAATTGTGTTTAAACTTTACCATCATACTTTCAATTGTTCTGTTTACGATTAAATCAAAGCTTGAGAATATTTATGGGCTAAAGGATGGGCAAAGCAGCGAAGACAGGGTTATGGTTTTTTTTTCAGGGATCTGGAGCTTCAAAATCGTCAGGAAATCACAGCCTCATGACCTTCTTTTGCTCATGCACTAACAATTCACAACACCATGCATTTTTCCAGGGCTGTTTTCTCTTTTTGGCAAGACTAGTATTCTCAAACAAGGAGACTTCTCATTTTCTCTGGAGGTACTCTAACTTTAACTCTTCTCTTGCCCCCACCCCTACATATTTTGAAAGTGCCCTCCCAAACAATGAGGAGGTATAATATAACAAGACTAGAGGATGGAATGACTGTTACACAGTCTGTTATAGTTTTAATGTATTCAGAACGCATTTATTACCAATCCTTCCTGTGCACTAGCTATCTTATATTTTTGCATGTGTAATAATTTGATTTCAGAATGAAAAAGGTAACACATTTTCTTATCACATGAGTATAATGCTAGCATCAGCAGCGTGGTAACCATGAAGTCTTCTTCAAGCAAGTTAACCCCTCATATGGCTGGACTTCCAATGATTACCGTGGATGGCCACGCTAACAACTTTATGTGTTCCTAAGCTTTTCAGTGAAATACGGTTTTATAAAATAAATGCCAGAAATCTATTTTGCTAATAACTAAATGCAAGCCCCTTCTCACAATGTTCTATTACGTTGTTCTTTCAGTCCCCTACACACTGCTATCAACAACAAGCCTGTAACCAAATTTGTAAGACTAAGGCACACTTGGTTTAGCTTTTTTTTGTAATATAAATAAATCATCCATCTTTTCGCCCATGTTAAATAAACAGCAGAGGAATACTTGACCAAGTTTTGCTCCCTGACAGTATGGGCTGTTGGTGATCATCTACCTCTGAAAGCAGCAGAGCAGAAGTCTGGAAAATCAATTAAATTGCTCTCACGTGCCCTGATTTGATATCCGTTTTAAGTGGTTTTCAATGTTGTGGTAACTGCAAGCAAATACGGAATAAGCACACTAAATAAATCCTTTCCTCTTAGGAAATGGTTCAGGGGCCAGAAAGAGGTATCAGAAAGAATTAATTTTTTTTTTAACAGAATTTAGGATAAAACCTAGAGTATAATACCTAGTTTAGCAGGTATTTCTAAAGCCAGAAAAACATAAATTCACGAGCTAACCAACTGTTTGGTAGTGGTTGTCGGCAAGGTTTGTGGGGAGGGAAGAGAAAGAGACCAGTTTCACCCAGGAGATAGAGAGTCATGATTTCCTGCAGTTTCTGCTCAGTTTGGGTTTTATTTTCTTCTGCCTCACACTCTTTACTGTATCACTGTTTCTCTGAAAGTCTCTCAAGTGAGTTTCTCTCCGTCTACAACTTCAGCCACTGTTACACAACACGCGTGTTCCTCTTTTGCCTGCCCGCCCCCCTCACCCCTCGCCTCCCCTCCGGGAAGGGAACAACCTGGGAGCGGAATGACAGTGGCCTTCCTGCCTCTGATGAAACCATCCCACAAGTGACGTTATGAAGCTCCCACTGAAGCTGTGGTCGACGCTGCATTTTACAGAACCCGGCCAATGTCACCAGGAGGGGAATTCAGCGCAAGAGGCCGGGAATCCCCAGGGAAATCTCTAGAAGCGAGGGGTATCCCCCCTGTTCTCTTTTCGGCTGGTTCAGAAAGGGCTCAGAACTGTGTGCCATGCCGGGTACAGGGGGACGAGGTGTTGCTGCGCCGGGGGCGGGGGTTGGGGTGTGCAGAACAGACACGGAAGACCGCAGGGTGGAGGAAACGGGGGTGGTCCCCCTCTCCGCAGCCGGCACCTGCATTTCCCAACCTTCCGGCGGCGCAGCCGAAGCATCCCGAGCATCCAGGACCCGCGCACCCCACCCCGACCAGGGAGCGCGGGCGAGCTGCCCTCCGGCGGGGGGACCCCTGGCTGGGGAGGGGCGGTGCGCCCCGGTCATCCCCGCATCTGCGGCTCTTGAGCCGGCCGTGGAGGGCAGGAGCGCTGCGGGTACCCCGCGGATTACCCGCTCCGGGACCTGTGCCCGGGCGTCCAGCCTGGCCCCAGGCTCCGAGCGGACCCGTCGCGCTCCCGGGAAGCCCGCGGCGGGCGTACCTCGGATGTAGGCGCACTTGCTCTCGTCCAGCTGGCTGGAGGCCGAGCCACCCATGGTGACGGTGCCGGAGGATGCGGAGCGCCGCGGCTGCCGGGGCGGGAGGGACTGACGCTCCCGACGGCGCCCGCTGCCCGCTCCTGGAAGTTGGTGCGACGGCGATCCGGACTCTGCAATTAAAGGGCAAACTTCCTCCGAGAGGCGCGGCCTGCCGGGGCGCCTCCTCCGGGTCCTCGCCCTCTGAGGATCTGTGGGCCGGCCCGGAGCTGTCTTCCCGCCCTCGCTCCAGGGGTGAGCTCCGAGGGGATGGCGGGTCTGGAAGGATTTTCTTCTCTTCGCTGGCTTCTTATTTTCACCTTGGGGTCAGAGGACAGTTTCCCTGGTGACCGGACACCTCTGAGGCTGGAACCCTCGTCCTCACCTCTCAGGAGGTGGAGGTCAAGGGCCCCTTGCTTTGCACGCCCTGCCCTTTGGTACCAGAAGCAACAGTTCTTCTGGAGCATCACCGGAGAACTTGTTAGAAATGCAAAATCTAGGCACTTTTCCCCTACACACACACACACACAGCCTCACCGAAGAGCTTGTTAGAAATGCAAAATCTAGACACTTTTCCCCTACACACACACACACACACACACACAGCCTCACCGAAGAACTTGTTAGAAATGCAAAATCTAGGCACTTTTCCCCTACACACACACACACACACACACACACACACACAGCCTCACCGAAGAACTTGTTAGAAATGCAAAATCTAGGCACTTTTCCCCTACACACACACACACACACACACACACACACACACACACAGCCTCACCGAAGAGCTTGTTAGAAATGCAAAATCTAGGCACTTTTCCCCTACACACACACACACACACACACACACACACACACACACAGCCTCACCGAAGAACTTGTTAGAAATGCAAAATCTAGGCACTTTTCCCCTACACACACACACACACACACACACACACACACACACACAGCCTCCCAGTTAGAAACTGTGGGAGTGGGGCCCAGCAGTCTGATTTCATGGGCTCTCCAGGTAATTCTGAGGCCTGCTGATGTTTGAGAACCAAAGGTAAACTGTACCTTCCTGCAGCCTAGAAGTTGAACTAAGGAGGCAGTTAATTCAATTTAAAGGATTTATTAAAGCGTCTGCCTCCAATGTGGGAGACCCGGGTTGGATCCCTGGATCCAGAAGATCCCCTGGAGAAGCAAATGGTAACCCACTTCAGTATTCTTGCCTGGAGAATCCCATGGACGGAGGAGCCTGGTAGGCTACAGTCCACGGGGTTGCAAAGAATCGGGACACGACTGAGAGACTTCACTCACATTTACAAAACAGAAGTAGAATCCTGGATGAAGACAACAAACTTAAAGTTACCAGGGGATAGGGGGTGGATCCTTTCAGGGGATGGATCCAGGGGAAGGTCCCCTGGATAAGGGAAAGGTTACCCACTCCATTATTCTGGCCTGGAGAATTCCATGGACTGTACTGTCCATCGGGCTGCAAAGAGTCAGACACAACTGAGCGACTTTCACTCACACACACACACACAGTGGGGTTGGGAGAGTGGCACTGACACATACACATGACTATGTATAAAAAAGGTAACTAACAAGAACCTACTGTATAGCACAGGGAACTCTACTCAATACTCTATATGGGAAAAGAATCTATAAAAAAGAGTGAATACATGTACCTGTATAACTGATACACTTTATCTGTATAACTGATACACCTGAAACTAACACAACATTGTAAATCAACTATATGGCCAATAAAAATTTAAAAATAAGAAGAAGTCGAGCCAAGGAGGCAGTGGAGGATGAAGGGGAAAAAAAGAGAAATAGAAAAAAATAGGGAGAACCTAAGGTTGGATCCTACAATAGGCTCGCAGTCCAACGGCTTCTTGAGATTTGATCAAAATCTGCTCTTGCATCTTTAGATTCCCTTCCTTTCCTTGACAAACTAGAAATAGTTCATTAGAAAGGGCACTTGTTCTTTTCCCACAACCACTGTTTAGCTTGGCAGCTTCTCCCAAACAAGAACCAGCTTGGTAGAAGGGTCACCATTCATCTCTCCCTATTCTTAGCAGTCAGATCTTAGTGACTCCTGCTGACTTAACCTTCAAGGTCTAACGATCTGTTCACACAAGAACCAGGCCTGAGGGGGGCGTTTTTCTCTCCACAGTTACTTATCTAGCGTTCTAACACAACGATTTCTCATACCTCATATCCAGTCTCTCACATTTTATGTTCCAGTCCGTCAGGAAATCCTTTCAAATCGACTTTCAAAATATATCCAGTGTCCAACCATTTCTCATCCTCTCCACAGCTATCAACCCCATCATTTCTCACCTGCATAATTACAAATGCCTCCTAACTGGTCTGTCTCCTTCAGAGAAAAGCCACAAAGTCTGTCACTGACACAAGCCCTGACTTCCTCTCTGCCCTCATCTACCACCCACTCTCCCTCCCCTTCCAGCCCTACTGGCCTTTTTGCACTGCTCGGGCACCCCAGCTCAGGGCCTTTTTTGCACGTGCTCTTTCTTCACCTAGCTTTCTCTTCCCTCAGATAGTCCTCATGGCTTCCTTTCCAACTGCCTCACTTCATTCAAATCTTTACTTAAATGCTAATATATCAGAGATGCTTTTCTTAACCCCCTGTTTAGATGAAACCCCCCCCCCCAGGCTTCATCCCTCTGCCTCTTCCCCTATTCATATCACCCAGCATCATCTGACATATGTTTCTTCCTGGCTCTCCCCCACTGAAATGGAAATTCCATGAGGTTGAGATTGTCTTTGTTGATGCTGTTGTTTCTGTTGTTTCTTTCTTAAGAACAGGGATTTTTATGTTCTCTGATAATATGTTCAATGCCTAGAACAGCACCTAGTACATAGTAGGTGCTCAATAGATAACTCTTGAATAAGTGAAGAAAGGAAATATAAAATATAAGAATCTGCAATCAACGGAAGCTGTGATCTCAGTGGATCAAGAGCACTTCCAGATAGCTATTCACTGATTTGAGCTATTCAGTCTTCAACTCTTTTCTTAATATTCTAGTCAGCTCTTAGTATTAAGTGTATCATATCATATCATTCTTCTCAGAAAAGTAATTCCTTTCATTATACAAATTGATATAATTATACCTTAGAATGCTGTTATTCTTATTAAAGAAAACTAGTTTGGATCTCCTGTCAGTAGAGTTTTAGCTTGTCACCTCTTGTTTGGGAATACACTGAAAAAAGACCGATTATACCAATTTATCATTCTTTGCTCATTTGTAGCATTCACAGAATGAATAAGATACAAGGAAGGATTTTGTGTGGTGTAGTTATTAAGATTTATAACCAGACAGTTCCAGCCTGGAACCTGCCCTGAACATGTGACCTGGTCAAGTTTCTTAACTTACCTGTCTTAGTTTCCTTATTTGTTAAACAGAGTTAATAACACCCTCCTCACAGTGTAGTCAAAATTAAATTTTATTGGGTCTGTGAAACACTTAACCTATCCCTAGGAACATAGTAAGTGTTCAGTAAATGGAAATTAGGATTTTTATTATCAGTAAGGACAACAGTGGTCAGAGAGGCAATTTTCGAGAGAAAGTGGATTTTAATTGGACCTTGAAAATCATTGATGTTATATTAAGCAAGAACTTCTGCTCCCTTTTTTCCCCAAACAAATAAAGCTCTTTTTCCCTAATCGGTTTACAGAAAAAATTAAGGAATTCATTATTTTAGTCATAATATTTAATATTTGCAAATCCTAAGTGGGAATCATTTTATTAATCACACACTAAAAATGAGTCTCCAAGCAATTCGATAGCTTTTTGAACCAGATTCAACTTCATGTGATTCAAATCAGCTAGTTTAGGAAATTTCCTTTGAAATGTTAGTTTTTGTACTGCATCAATATTTATTTGGGGGCTTAAAATACTGTTAAAGACAATTTCTTTCAAGTAAATTTCACATACTATAATGGTTACCTTTTTTAACATCTTTACTGAGATATAATTCACTCAAAGTATCTTTATTTAAAGGAGCAATTAGTTTAATAGACATTTCACACCTTGAAAATGTGTGTATGTTTTGGGATTCCTTTGCATGTCATAGAATTACGAACCTCTTGTTTGTCACATTCTCATTTGACTTATATACTGTAACACCCACTGCATATTAACTGCATTTTGCTTCAGTAGTTTAGCTCAGTTCTCTCACTCTTTGAGACCCCATGGACTGCAGCACGCCAGGTTTCCCTGTCCATCCCCAACTCCCAGAGATTGCTCAAACTCATGTCCATCAAGTGGGTGATGCCATCCAACCATCTCATCCTCCGTCGTCCCTTTCTCCTCCCACCTTCAATCTTTCCCAGCATCAGGGTCTTTTCAAATGAGTCAGTTCTTCGCATCAGGTGGCCCAAGTATTGGGAGTTTCAGCTTCAGCATCAGTCCTTCCAGTGAATACTCAGGACTGATTTCCTTTAGGATTGACTGGTTGAACCTCCTTGCAGTCCAGGGACTCTCAAGAGTCTTCTCCAGCACCACAGTTCAAAAGCGTCAATTCTTCAGTGCTCAGCTCTCTGTATAGTCCAACTCTCACATGCATATGACTACTGGAAACACCATAGCTTTGACCAGATGGACCTTTGTTGGCAAAGTAATGTTTCTGCTTTTTAATATGCTCTAGGTTGGTCACAGCTTTTCTTCCAAGGAGCAAGCATCTTTTAATTTCATGGCTTCAGTCACCATCTGCAGTGATTTTGGAGCCCAAAAAAACAGTCTGTCATTGTTTCCATTGTTTCCCAATGTATTTGCCATGAAGTGATGGGACCAGACGCCATGATCTTAATTTTCTGAATGTTGAGTTTTAAACCAACTTTTTCACTCTCCTCTTTCACTTTCATCAAGAGGCTTTTTAATTCTTCTTCGCTTTCAGGCATAAGGGTGGTGTCATCTGCATATCTGAGGTTATTGATATTTCTCCTGGCAATCTTGATTCCAGCTTGTGCTTCATCCAGCCCAGCATTTCACATGATGTATTCTGCA